TGGGCCTCGGCAGCCCGGCTGCCATGAAGGGTGTTCGCCATTGAGCACCACGGCAGGAGACAGGGCACTGAGGCCTTCTTTCTGTCTGCCTGCAGTGGCAGGAGAGAGACACCCTCTCCCGGCCACAGGGGCTAACAGCCTTGGCCAGCTTGTGCTGGACAGAGGGGATGCAGGGACAGGAAGGGCCGGCCCCAGGGACACCACGAGGCAGCTGTGAGGACCAGGGTATGTGGCTCGGGGCACAGCTGCATGGCTGGGAGGGGCGGCCGCAGGGCAGCCGGAGACGTCCAGGAGGCTGGCGCATCGGCCTGGGGTGGGCCTGGCCTCACGTTTCTCGCTCATGCATGCAGATGAGGCCTCTGAGCCTCTTGGGGGGTTATTTAGCCGCCAAACAGCCTTAAACACATCCACAGACATACGCGGTCTCTGCTTCCCCTGAGGGACACAGGCATCTCTCTTGTTCATTTGCTGACACCGCTGGTCACACACGGGGGGCCACTTCCACGCAGGGTCGGGAGCCTCCTGCATGGCTTCTGCCTTGTTCCCTGACCTGCGGTCTCCGGGTATCACTCGTACTTGGGGCCCAGCACCGCGCCGCCACCCCATGCACCCAGACACCACCCGGGAGGGCATCTGGATTTTCCATCATGGAACCGTTTCACATAACGTGGTTGTGGTGGAGCGGGGTGGCACACACCTATACTCCCAGCACTTTGGGATGTCACGGTGGGAAGCCACTTGAGGCCAGGAGTTCAAGACCAGCCTCGATAACAAAAAAGTCAGCCAGGCGTAGTGGCACCTGTAGTCCTGCTGCCAGGAGGCTGAGACGAAAGGAGCGCCTGAGCACAGGAGATCGAGGCTGCAGTGAGCTGTGATCCCACCACTGCCCTCCAGCACAGGCCACAGAGCGAGACCTGGTCTCCAAAACTGAAAAGCGGCTGTGGACTTCTTGTCTGTGGCCAAGGGTGCTTGTTTCTGTGGGGTAACTGCCTGGGCGCAGGACGGCTGGGTCCCAGAGTGGACAGAAGCTCAGGGCCATCAGAACCTCATTTCCGAAAGTGGCCGTCCCATTGAACTGTCCCCTGCCAGGGCTTCCGGGAGGTCCTGGGAGGTCCCGGGGCCACCCCCACTCAGTGTAGTGGGGTGTGGGATGTGGGGGCCAGAGAGAAGGGGCAGACCCCGTGTGCCCCCAGGACACAGAGACCTGGGGTCAGCTGCTCACAGGCTCACTGGCCACCAGAATGCTGGGGCCACCTGCCCCTGCATGCCTGGCCTGCCCCCCGCCACCGCCCACACGGCCAGGTTCCAGGATCTCGGTGGGCAGCAACTCTGGGTCTGCTCAACCCGCTGGGCCTGGGCCTCTGACCTCCGCTCTGCCTCTCCGTCACCCCACCCCATTCAAGCTGGACTATGCCCAGGGCCCCTCCGGCAGTTCCATGCCACCCCACCCCCATTTTCATCCCAGTCAGAGATGTCTCCCCAGCCAGAGGTGAGTCCAGCCCAAGCCCCCGCAGTGTGCACCCACCAGAGACCCGTATCTGCCAACGTGTTTATTGGGGGCACCGTGGGCGGGGTATGCACAGCATACATAGTGAGCCCGGGAGCCCCTAGGAGCGCCTAGAACGGCGTCGGCTCTGGCGGGGACGGCCGGCCTGCACCTGCTGCACGCAGCACAGCAGACCCTTGGCCTGCTGCCGCTTACATCTTGGCCAGGGCAGAGTTTGCATCGGCTTGCTCCTCTTGGATGGGGGTCCGGAAGCTCTTTCCCCCTGGGGAGGCAGGAGGAGTAAGAGAGGGGAGCTGGGGCGGGGTGTCACCCTCCACGGGTTGGGGCTGGGCCCACAGTGGTACTCACCAGGGGGCTCTCGGGCATTGGGGAGTGGCCTCCGGGCCCTCCAGTGCAGGTGCAGGGCCAGCAGAGAGCCCAGGGGGATCAGCAGGCCCAGGCCCAGGCCCAGGCCCAGGACAGCAGTGATTGCGGGGCCTGTAGTGAGGGAGCCCAGGAGGTGGGGTCCATCAGCGGCCAGACAGCAGCCCCAGCCCGTCCCACCGTCCACCCTCCCATGTTGGAGTCGGGGGCTGGGCCAGGCGCCCTCACCTCTGGGGGTCTCTGAGGGGGTGGTGCGGGGCCCCTGTGAGGTCACAGGCCCGGCTGCGGTGGGCTGGGTGGTGGAGGGCCTGGCCGGGGGACCCTGGGTCTCCTGGGGTGGTGTGGCCTGGGTGCTCCTATCCTCACAGATGGCATCCGAACTGTTGCCAGCTGGCCTCAAGGTGCGCTTCCCAGCTGAGGTACAGCTGTGGGAGCAGGAGGTGTCCATCAGGCCAGAGACCCCCGCCAGGCCCACGAGAGAGGGCAGTGCCCACCACAGACTCCAGGCCAGTGGTGGCTAAGGCCCCTGCTGGGGCCCGTTCACACTCCCCCAGGGCCTCCAAGGCCATGCACCCTTCCCCACCTCTCACCACTAGGGCTGTGCTGTGCCCAGACAAGCCCCAGAGCAGGGGCTTCTGTGAGAATGGGGCTTCCCAGCTGTGGACAAGGAGGCTCTCACGCACCCCCTGCACCCACAGGAAGGGGCTGGCCCCTAGCAGGCTGAGCGGGTGGAACTCCCACCAGCAGCTTCCTGCCCTCTGACCCAGCCCATCCACAGCCAGGCCCAGGTCCCGGCCCCAAGCCCCCAAGCTCCCAGCACCCGACGCTCCTGGCCAGGAGTCTCACTTGGTCCAGGGCCTGCAGACCTGGTTCTCGCCAGGGGAGAAGTGGCCTGGGGGGCAGGGGGCACAGTCTGTAACAGAGAGCGGACAGGCTCAGCCCCCTGCTGAGACCGTGGGGCCCTGACGCTAAGGCCACGGGGCAGGGCTGTAGTGTCATCAGTCCCAGGGCCACAGGGGGGGCTGGCCTCCAGCGGCCTCCCTGACCAGGAAGCCCCAGTCTTGGTGCTGCTGGAGGCAGCGCCAGCACAGGAGGTGGGGACATGGGAGCCTGGGGTGTGGATGTGGGCGTGGATGTGGACGTGAGGGCATGAGGACATGGGGATGTGGGGGCATGGGGGTGGGGCTGTGGAGGTGTGGGAGCGTAGGGTGTAGGGACAGGGACGTGGCAGTGGGGACATGGTCCCTTGTGCCATTGCTGAGGCCAGCACCTAGGACGAGCACACAGCCCGCCAGCCTCACAGCCGCCCGCACCCCAAGGCTCACCAACTCCACGCTTGTAGCCGCTGTCCAGGGGCTGGGTGCCTGGCCGGCACCTACAGACCGCGTCCTTTGTGGATGTGCATGTCCATCTGAGTTCACTCCCACTTCCTAGGCAGATGGTCGGGGGGTTGTCAAGCAGGGTGTGCAGGGGAGACTACCAGGAGGGACAGGCAACTTGAGGGGTGTAGAGACCGAGGCTGAGGGTCGCCCAACACCGGGAACCCCTTGCAGCCTGGGGACGCTGCCCAGACAGCCCCCGAGGCTCCGGCAACGCCTGCCTGGACGCTCAGTCCCTCTGGCCACAGCCCCAGGGCGGCCCCGTGAGGCTGTCGGGCTGTGGCCCCATCCCAGGTGCCCCAGCCTGGCTCCCTGCCCTCCTCACCTGCCTCGGCCCGCAGCACCCGAGGCAAGACTGTCCATGGCTCTGCCCCCCGCCCCCCGGGCCAGCCTGGGCAATTCCACGTGGCCAGACGGTCTTCATGCCGACTCCACGTGGAGCTGGTGCTGGCTGGCCGCCGGATGTGCTTCCCAGCCAAGGTACAGCTGTGGGGGAGAGGGTGGGGGCCTGGGAGAAGGGAGGTGCCCCTGGGAGATACCTCAGCTCTGCAAGGGACCCCTGGGGCGGAGCAGACCCTACTGTGGTTTGAGGTTTGAGTCTGTGGCTGAGGGGAGCCCCCTGGCAGCCTCATGGGAAGTGGCTGCCCCCCCCAACACTGAGTGGGGCCGTGGGGTGGGGCGGGGCCGGGGCAGGCTCACCCCGGTTGCACTGTGTGCAGGGCTTGCAGGTCTCGTAGTTGACTGCCTCATTGTAGAAGCCGCGCTCACATGGCTGGCACACGGTGTCCCTGGAGTCGTCACAGCGGCTCACCATCCCCTGGCCTGCGGCAAGGCCCGGCTGGCATCAGGCCGAGGCCACGCGGAGCCCAGGCCTATGGACTTGCCTGCAGTCCTCTGGGCCT